AATTTTTGGGGAAAATAGCCATGTTTATAGGTATTTGGCTAAAACATGCTTCAACACTCACTGCAGGATGATCCAGGGGCATTCTTGAAAATAGTACGGGAATCTTTTGGGGTCACATCCTCCCTTTTTGGCAGCCCATCTCCTGCAGCTTTTGAGATCTCAAAGGACTAATTAGATATCTAATTTTTGACATCTTCTAGGTAGTTTTACCTTGTCCATGGTTTTGTTCAAAAAGGTGGGTAAAGGTCTTTACCCATTGGATTTTACCCTCCCTTCCTCCACTATATAAAGGGGGGGAGGTCTAGCTTTAGAAGTATGCAATTTGTAAAGAACAATCTTAAAAACACTTGAAGTAGTTTGAAGGTTCTCTTATTTTGAAGTTATATTTGCAAGTATTTCTCTTTTCTTCTTTATAATTCCTTTTACGTTTATTTCTTTAGTCATCTTTTTATTATCTTAATGCTTTCCTTATTATGCTTTATTATTTATGCAATTAATATTAGTAGTTAAAATAATTTAAGTGTCTTTTATAAATCCGTCGTTACATTTATTTCTTCCGTTTTCTTTTCTTCTCTTAAGTTTACTTATTACGGTTTATTTCTATTTTTATTCTTACATTGTCTAGTATCGTTAGTTAATCTTATAATCACGTCTAGAATTTATTTCTTCTTCTTTATTTATTCTTATGCATTATTATTCACGTAATTAATTTTTCAAGAATGATAGGCTAAAAATATAGCTTGGGTGTTGGGTGAAGTTAAGATAAGGACCGGTCTTGTTTGTAGAAATATAAATTATAAATCTTTACAACTACGTCATTCAAGTTTTTATTGTCAAAACATCATCAATGGACAAGTTGATCACTTGTTTAAAAGTGTTAAAGTGTGTGTTGGATTTAGAGATAAACCAACAAGCACACGTCAACTTGAATGATATGGAAGTAGGCTCGAGAGAGTTACTTAGAATCGAGGAGACTCGTTTTCGCTCCATTTAGCTTATAAAAGGAATAGTTTGAGACAATGTCGAGATTCCAGCCTTGCATAGAGATATGAGGGTTGGATCTATGACTGTGTGTCATTCTATATCTCGTGAGAGTACCTTAAAGAAACTATTAGTTGTAAAGATAAGTGATTTTTAAAGCATACTATAGAACCATGTCGTAGCATGCTGTCTACTTTTAGATCGGTTTAACATCTTAACGAATCCCTACACCCCAAGCTCTTTTCTAAAACTTGTTCACAGCAGTAGTGTTTAATCAACTCACCACAAATATTTCCTCGAATTCACYATCTGAAATCTTATCTKTATTTTTAYTATTAAAATGAACTTTTATTCCTTTTTCCCGTGGACGATACTCGGTATTTTTACCACTCTATTACTTGTTAAAGACAATAGTGGGTTGATAAGTGTATACTTGCACTAGTCTCCATTTATTAGCAGTCTGAGAGATTTATTCTATATAAATCGCGTGACAATAGCAACACAATTAATAAAGATCTTTGTACCAAGAATAGATTTCATAGGTTAATTATGTAAAATCAACCGAAAATTGTCAAGAACATAGTTCTAACAAAATATTTAATATCCACAAATTTTGATCAAACTTTTTCAAATTGAAAAAGTAGATGATATTGATTCTTTCCAAAAGAGAAAACAAATCAAATTGAGTAAGAATTGACCACAAATTCTTCCAAAATCAAAAAAAAAAAAAATTGATTGAGAACACAGTCGGTTCAAGAAACAGAACTCAATATTCAAATTTTTCCGAGTTTTAACAAAAATTGAATCAGATTAACACTTGCCTTTTGCTTTGATACCAATTGTTAACCCTATAATCAAGTTATATGAATAAAACTTCAAGAAATCATCAATGGATAAATCATCTTTGTCATTAGACTTGAGAGAGATACAATGCAAATACGATTACACAATGAGAAAACTAACTCAAAGATAACAAAACATAAAAGTATTATATCCAAAGGGTATTTACAAAATAAGCCCCTACAACTTAATTACAATTACAATTTGAACCCCAACACAAATGACTAAACATACAAGAAGTCAAACCACAATTAAACATAATGTTGACTTTCGTTGACCATGTTGACTTTAAGCTTTGACCTCTTCAGTTTTTAAGTTCGGTGATCTCAGATATAATAATATTTGACCTAACAAGTAGCAATAACATAATTACCTAAATTGATTGATGTAGTTGGAAAGCCAAGAATCTATCTTGAATAACCGATTGCTTAAATCAACACTTTGCTTATACAAACTCTAACAGCTTTTGAGGAACACGTGCTGATAACTTGTTGTAGGAAAAAAGAAATAGAAAAAAAAGATAGAGATAATATATATATAATTCTCATTGATTAAAAGTTTTTTTAAATAAGGTTGAATTTACAATGAAAAAAACATCAACTATGATAAATATTAATACTTGAAAAATATTTTTTGAATCACTTCTTCTTTAATGAAGACACATAATCTTCGAACTTTTTTAATTTTTTATTTAAATGTTTAACAATCAACGTAATAACTTTTCATTTTAATACAATTTCTCTTTAGATTTCAATGTTTTAAGGGGTTTTTCGGCAATTGCAGAATGATTTTATGCAGAATAATTAAGTGTTCAGAATGATTAAGACGCTATCATGATATAGTGCAAAATGAAATATAACTGTTCGGTAATTGTTTACAATGAAATTATGGTGTTGAATGGTTAAGTGAGGCCCATGATACAAAATCATTCAGAGGATTTTAAAACCATTAAGAGACATATGTTTTTTTACCAAATAAGATTCATCTCTTAATGATTCAGAGACTGTCTCTTAATGGAACTATTAAGAGATAAACAAAAACCCCTTATTATGTTTTCATGAGAAGTAAGAGGGATAAAATGATATTAGTGAAAGAATAGGGGTAGTTAGTAGAAATATTGCCATCAACCGAACACAATAAGACGTCGGTTTTAGTTGAACACTGATCCATACAAACCCCCAAACTCTGTTTCTAGGGTTTCACATATCGTAGAGCAAAACTTCGGATTGTTTTTATCGCAATCGAGGGGATTCAATTCCTTCATTCAACTCATAAGCTCAACCCAAAAATTCTTCTGGTAGAAGTATGCCGCGACGGCGAGACGAGTATGAAGACGACGTAGAGGACGAGGATGAGGATGACGCCATTGACGACGAAGAGGACGAAGATTATGGCACTAGCCGTGGCGGCGGCGGTGGAAGCGACCGTAAGAGGAGGAGATCTGATTTTTTTGACGATGCTGCGGAGGAGGATGAAGAAGAAGAGGAGTACGAAGACGACGACGAAGATTATGGCGGCGGCGGCGGTGGCGGTGGTGGTGGTGGTGGTAGCCGTCATCGAGGTGGGAAAGCAGCAAAGAAGGCATCTGGTGCCGATTTCTTTGAGCTCGAAGCTGACGTCGATACAGATGCTGAAGAAGAAGAGGAAGAGGATGGGGAAGATGGTTAGGGTTTCTTTATATTTTTGCATCGCCTTACTTTTACTCATTATTTTCGGTATCACAGCCTGCTGCATTTCTATTACATTTCTTTTCTGTTTCCTTACAGCGGTTTGTGTGGTGAATTATAGCTTGTTATTTCTTGACCCAGAAGATATGAGCGTGAATATCAATATGCATCATGTCTTGAGATTGTAACTACGAGTTGGTGCTAACTTATACAACATAAAATGGCCTTAATGTTAGAGGAATTGAAGTAGAAGGATGGTTTACTGATCCATATTACTTGTTTGGTTTATCTGGATTAGAACATTGACGTTGGTTGCTTGAATCCTAAAGCTGTGATACTGAAACCGAGCCTGGAGGCCTAACTTTACTCTAATCTGCATAAGCAGTGTAAACAAGCATGAATGTGGGTGAAAATGGAATAATTGATTGAGATTGAAGTATATATTCATTGGATAGGTCAGTTTACGTCATTGGATAGGTCAGTTTATGTCGAGTAAAATGAGATGTATTAGACTACCTTTGGAAGAGGAGTAAACCCTTTGATTGGTGGGCTGTGATATCTGTAGATAAATTGCGTCTTGGGATCTAATTCTTAGGAATGTACACATATCTTATATTGTCATATCATCGTTTGCTTTCGGGTATACTCTACATCTATCTATAATGTATGATATGGTCCTCAAAAACATTCTCAATGATCAACTGCCTTGTGTATATTGTCTCTGTTGTTCCCGTTGGTTGTTTTCCCATAAGTATCAAGTATGGAATATTTAGTCATGTGTCCGTCTACAGAAAACTATACCTCATGTTGATGGTATGCTTGGGTGCTTGTGGCTTATGCTCTTCAACCACACTTGCAATTGTCACCATCTTATATGCTGGCAGACTGGCAGTATGCTTGGGTATTTGTAGCTGATGCCCTTTCACTTGCAGTAGTCATCATCTTACATCCCTCACTATTTGGCATTTATTGGATATGGGAGTTTGGTTTTCTAGTGTTTAGATCTATCTACAAACTTCCACACATGCTGTAATATGGGTTTCTAGTTTACATGGCTAATCCTTGTTCAAGCAGTGATCAAACTAGAAACTTTGATGACCTGCATGATAAAACTGACTGGTTCAAGTGCAAAATGATTTAGAGGCTTTGGCTCGAATTGGTGCAAAATGTAAAATGATTGATAAGCATTTTGAATGGATATTTAAATGACAAAAAGTATTTTAGCCATCTAAAGCATTTTTGACACAGACTATTTGATAAAACTTAATAAGAAAGCCCAAAAAAGATAAATAAGAAAAAATAAATGAAAACCACCAGTCAGTTAACTACATATTATGAAACTAAAACAATAAATAATTAGAGAACGACATATGAAAAAGGATTATTATTATGGTTATTATAATAAATAAAATAAATTTAAGACCAAAAAGATTGATCATATGAGATATAGGCACACATATGGCTTGTGTTATTTTTTTTTGTTTTCGGGGGTGGGGTTTGGTTAGGGATAGTTAGGAGGAAAAAAGGGGGAGTAGTTGTGGAGGAAGTTGTGAGGACTGGGAAGCGTAGGGGATATGTTGAGAGTTTTGATCATGATTTAGTGCTCTTGTTTGACCAATTGAATCATATCTTAACTATGTGGAGGTTGAAAACTGAAATTCGTTTTATCAAACAACCTAGTCTTTGATGTCTTTGACCTATTTTGATTATGGGGCTCAACCTACACTGGCCCAATTAACACCATCTAAGGGATTTTTTGGCAATTGCTGAATGGTTTGATGCAGGATGATTAAGTGGTCACTGGTCAGAATGATTAAGAGACTCTAATGATATAGTACAAAATGAAATAGGTTGTTTGGTGATTGTTCAGAATGAAATTAGGACTCTAAATGGTTTAGGGAGGCCCAAGATACAAAATCATTTAGAGGGTTTTAGAACCATCAAGAGTCGGACTTTATATTTGCCAAACAAGATTCACCTCTTAGCGATTAAGAGATTGCCTCTTAATGGAACTATCAAGAGGTAAAGAAAAAACTCCTAAGCATTCCAAGGGTGTCAATCTCTTTGTGTCTTTTATGATTCTTGGCTTGAGTTGATAATTGATCGTTGTCATGCTATAGGTCTTTTCTTGGGTGATTGTTCTTTCATATTAGTTGATCTCTTTAGCTCTAATTCTTTGGCGGTTTGCACTTGATACTTTCTCTAGGAAATTCTCTCTTCATGTCTTTTTCGACCATGGTTGGCTTTTCCAAAATAATCCTCTCCCTTGTGGATCGTTTGACGCCTAGGTAGCCGATTTCTTTTTGTTAGGCCATAACTTAAATATTTTCTACTCTATAACTAGTCATCTCTATATATTATTATTTGTTTGGACCACTTGATTCCATGCCAAGGTTGGCATACTACATACACCTACATCAATTGATGACCTCTGGGTACAAGTCTTCTCCGTCCATCTAAAGTTATTGACAACCAAACCCAAATCATGCAATGCCACTTTGCATCACCTAACTGGTAGGGCTCTATCTCTTGTTATCAAAATCCCTCTCCTCTAATTGTGTAATCTCTCATTCACCTAAAGATTACTATTTATGCTACACTCATCTTGCATGCATGTAGTCTTTTAGTAACATAACATCTAATATAACCTATCCTTCACTTTAGTGGCCTTCTTTTATCACATTGGACTTTGAAACTCTTCATTGGTTCATCCATCAAACTTAATGATATAACTAACTTACGTCTTTCTTCACCTTTCGATAATACTGATTCGAGGTAGAGAATGTATGTTATTTCTAACTACATTTATATTGTGCTTGGCATCTATTTCATTGCCTTAGTAACGCACCTTGCATTACTTTTGTTGTACTTTGGTTTGGTTGCTTGATCCAAAACTTTCAGATTTTTAGGCGTTTCTCATCACATCCAACTTTGCATAACATCTTGGCTAGTGATCAATCAACACAATATCGACAACAAAAATCATACACCATGACACATTATCTTATATCCTCTGTGAGCTTTTCTATAACCAAAGATATAGATAAGCGACCTTAAAGTAAAAGGAAAACTAATTGTTTATCATGTTACCACATGATATGGCCTCTACCTTTTTGAGAAGTCCAGAAATCACTCTCCTAAATGTCATTATATGCTTTCTCCAGATCAATCGACATGGAGAGGAAACCTTTTTAGGCCTCTATATCTCTAAATGCGTTGTGTAATCAAGAAAATAATTTCCATTATTGATCAATCAAGCCTAAAATTGAATTGGTTCATTGACAAATAGTCTCAACTCTTAAGCTATGTTCAATATTCTCTCTCATAGTTCCAGTTAATGGCTTATGGAATTGCTCTCATGATAATTTGTACTATATTAGATATCTCATTTAATATTGTAGAGAGTGTACTATTCTTCTTTCATGCTTGCAATATCCTTTTGGTCTTGAGAATAACATTAAATAATCTAATGCTTCATAGTATAGCTACTTCCTGAAGGGCTCTCAAAACCAATACTTGGATGCTAATCTTTGCCCACTTTTTTTCTCTTGAAGCGGTTTTTTTCCTTTCTGTGATGTGGTGTAAATACATTTTTTTGTTATTATCAAATGATGTCAAGCCTCTTACATACTCCTTAGCTTGTCGTCTTAACCCTCTATCATTCTTTGAGCTCACTGTCCTTTAATAGTTCACACTTTTCAATTCTGATGCATTTTCTGTCCCTTATGTTAACCAACCTGTATATATCTTTTGCAGTCTCCTGTTCCTAGTTTACCACATCAGGTGATCTACATCTACCTCTACTTTATCATACTGCTTTTGTTCTCTACACTCTTACAACCATTTAGGAGTTCATACGATGCCATCTTTTCCTCAACAGCCCTTTGTATGTCTTTATTCATCATATTCCACCACTGAGTTCTTTAGATGTGGTCTTTACTTGCTCTTTTTGACCACATCATTCTCTACCATCAGGATGCATGTTGCATTGTCTTTCCTCATATTATTAGCTTCCTGTTCGTTACTTGCAGGCCCTTATTTAGCACACTTGTTTCTTGAACATACCAAGATTATATCGATTTAGTGCCAAGTTTTTGGGTAAAAACTATTTTTTTTCTAAAATCATGTTTAGTGTGGTTGTTGGCGAATATGTTGTGATTCTTGTGAAACTATCACACATGAGTTGTGCAGGTGCATGATCTCATTAAGGATAATGTCTATGTGACTAGTTTTTGTCGCTATTGAAGGTTAGGATGTGAGGATCTCGTTTATGTTCTCAATAACATGTTTGCTTGCTATATGTAATTGAGTTAGTGTGAATATGTCCCTTGATCACACATTTGTGTATTATACATATGTCCCTCGGTCACACATGTAATTTCTGCCTAGGCTAATTGGGGGACTTTTATGTCTCCAATAATTATGATCCTTGAAACAAGCCAAGATCTCATAGGCGATTGCTGTAGTGTCAGATTGATTATTTTCTCATTCCTCTCTTGATTAGTATAGATCAGAGTAAGAGCAAAATATCTTTTCATTGCAAAAGAAGTACAGTGACAATGAGGATGAGGAGCATCTTCACATGTGTCGGTTTTTCCATGTATATATAATGAGAGGCTATGTTTGAATGCTGGCATTACCTTTTTTTATGTGCTTTGGTACTTGAAATTTTTACATGCAATGTTCTTCGTGAACATATTGTTGGGATTCTTTTCATTCTTGGAAAGTTTTTTCATAATCTTCACTTGATTGGGCAACTACTATAAATTTTCATGTATTCATTAAGAACTTCTAATACACGGTGTTTCTGTTGCTGATTGGGGTTTTTGGCATGCAGACTTTATAGTCAATGAGAGAGTTGATCTACATGATGAAGAGGATGCTAGAAGGATGCATCATCGTCCTTTGCTTTCACGTGAAGATGACCAGGAAGATGTTGAAGCTCTTGAGAGAATAATTCAGGAGAGGTTTGCTAGGAATCGTACTGAGTATGACGATGATGATGCGACAGAGGTTGAACAGCAAGCTCTCTTGCCATCTGTTCGTGATCCGAAGTTGTGGATGGTGAAATGTGCGGTATGCTGTAAACTTTTTTTTTTGGTAATTCTATCTTTGTTTGGAACTAGTTCGTTGATCATCTGTTCTTTCCATCATGTGCTAGATTGGTCATGAGAGAGAGGTGGCTGTATGCTTGATGCAGAAGTGCATTGATAGAGGTTCTGAGTTGCAGATCAGATCGGCTATTGCTCTTGACCATTTAAAGAACTATATCTACATTGAAGCAGACAAAGAAGCCCATGTGAAAGAGGTCTGACCTTTGGAAATAGTTATATAGATCTGTTGTTTAGCTGAAGTAACAAGATATCTATGAGAACCTTAATATGATTCTCTTATATTGTTGAGGCTTCAGGCTTGCAAGGGTATGCGTAATATATATACTGGCAGTAAGATTTTGCTGGTCCCCATAAAGGAAATGACTGATGTTCTATCAGTTGAGAGCAAAGCAATTGATCTTTCTAGGGATACTTGGGTCAGAATGAAGATTGGAACATACAAAGGGGATCTTGCAAAGGTGACAAACACTTTTCCTCGCTTTTGATTAGTAAAGTTACCATATTGAACTGAAGCTTCCTTTCTTGTAGGTTGTGGATGTGGACAATGTGAGGCAGAGAGTTACGGTGAAATTAATCCCAAGGATTGACTTACAGGCTTTGGCAAACAAATTGGTGTGTCTAATAGTTCCTTTATTTCAAAGTGCATTTCTATATTATCAGAGGCTTATAGTTTTTTTATTCATTCAGACCCTGTTAATTTTTATCTTCTAAATCATTTATCATTACTCTGCCACAAAGAAATGTTTTATTGGTTGTAAATTCTCTGAAGTGACATGTCTAAGTTACCATATGCATGCCAATTTCTTACGTGGGACTAGAATATGTAAATTGTGACAATAAGTTGTCGGGCCTGGTTCATGGTGTTGTTCTATCAAATCTCAGGAAGGCAGGGAAGTTCCAAAGAAGAAGACATTTACCCCTCCGCCACGCTTTATGAATGTTGATGAAGCTAGGTGTGTATTCTGTAGTATTTTATTGCACTTTATTTGCTAGTCAATGCAGTTTCGTGCTTTCTCAGCATCTCTCATATATTTATTCATCGTTTTTTGCTTGCTTGATGTCCAGAGAAATGCATATCCGTGTTGAACGTAGGCGGGATCCAATGACTGGTGATTACTTCGAAAATATAAATGGCATGATGTTCAAGGATGGCTTCTTATATAAAACTGTATCCATGAAATCAATAAGCACTCAGAATATACAGCCAAGTTTTGATGAACTTGAAAAGTTTCGGCAACCTAACGAAAACGGGGATGGCGACATTGCTAGTTTGTCGACGCTCTTTGCAAACAGAAAGAAAGGACATTTCATGAAGGGTGATAGAGTTATTGTGATCAAGGGAGACCTAAAAAATCTGAAGGGATGGGTGGAGAAAGTTGAAGAAGGCACTGTTCATATTAAACCGAATGCAAGTGGCCTTCCAGTAAGTGTAACCCTTTCACTTGCTTTCTTTATTTTCTCTTTTTCAGCGATGCTTTATTTGAAAGCTGCAAAGTAGTATCTTTTTTCATGAAGTTTGGAAGTAAACATCCCAAAAGATCTGGCCATTATTTGTTACATAATCTTCCTGTGTGTTGCATGCACTATGGTTTATGGTTTATGGTTAGAATAACGAGGTAGACGGCTACTTTCAGATTGCTTTCCCTGTAGTCTTACTATGGCTGATGAGCAAGGCATCCCTCCTATGCGCAGACATCTCTGCTAACATTTCTCATTTTAATAACGCAGAGAGCTTAACTAGAATAGCAGACTTGGGACAACAGATTTGAGCATCAGACATGAGCCATTTTGAATAGAATGTTTTATGTATTTTTGCTAGCAAGCTATTCATAGTTTTCTTGGTTTGCAGAAAACTCTTGCTGTAAGTGAAAGAGAGCTCTGCAAGTACTTTGAGCCTGGGAATCATGTGAAAGTTGTCTCTGGTGCACAAGAAGGTGTGACTGGAATGGTTCTAACAGTTCAGGGGCATCTGGTAAATCTTGTGTCGGATACTACAAAGGAAGTTGTAAGTGAAGAGGATATGACTCTCAGTTCTGATTTTTCTTTATAGTGGAACCAACACTATTTTTTACTGATGCACTTATGCTACTCCAGCTACGTGTATTCTCTGACAATGTTGTGGAGAGTTCTGAAGTAACCTCTGGCATCACCAAGATTGGGGATTTTGAGCTCCATGATCTTGTCCAACTTGAGTAAGCTTTCGATCTGTACAGTATGCTAATTGCTTGGCTAAGTTCAGTATCTTATTTTTTTGATTTTGTGCAGTAATTCAAATTTTGGTGTAATCATACGCGTAGACAGTGAAGCCTTTCAGGTGGGTGTTGACATGTTGTAGCTGATTGACTAGCTGTACTAAAACTAAGTGATTAGTTAATGTAGTATTTCTCTACAGGTTCTGAAGGGTGTTGCAGATAGAGCAGAAGTTGAACTTGTTAGGTTACGAGACATTAAATACAAGATTGATAAGAAAATATCTGCTCAGGATCGTTTTAAGAACACGGTATCAGTGAAAGACGTAGTTAAAGTTATTGAGGGTCCATGCAAGGTGAGTCTTATTTTTTTGTCCCCCTGCTTTTCTCTCTCTTCTAGTAAGGCGTTTTGCATGCTTTGATCATGATACATATTTTTTTCTTGAACAGGGGCGACAAGGTCCTGTTGAACATATTTATAGAGGAATTCTGTTTATATATGATCGTCACCATCTGGAGCATGCAGGGTTTATCTGTGCCAAATCTCAATCATGTGTATTGGTTGGCGGCTCCCGTGCGAATGGTGACAGAAATGTATGTATTATCTGATTCAGTGATCTGCTTTGCTTTTGTTTATTTTTATTTTATAATTCTCGTATCACATTACCACCATCGTATTAGATGTTATCATTTCTCTCCTTTTTACAGATTTTGTGAAGTCGTTGGACTATTAGTTACATTGTTGGTTGTTTATTCAATGTTTCTGTTGGATCAAATCTGATCATTTTACGTGTCTATTCTCTTTACGACCTTCTTCAGGGAAATCCGTTGCAATCAAGAGTTGCTCAGTTTAGGACTCCCAATCGACTTCCACATTCCCCGGGTAGATCTCCTAGAGGAGGCCCACCACTACGTATGTTGTACATACATTAATATTTTTTCAAGTTTTTCATCTTTTTTTATCTTGTTTATTAATTTGAAAGTAGGGTACTCTAATCAGCATTTGTCATTAATGTAGCTGGTGGGAGGCACAGAGGTGGAAGAGGAGGGAAAGATTCCATAGTTGGAACATGCATCAAAATTCGGCTGGGCCCCTTCAAGGGATACAAGGGGCGGGTTGTTGATGTTCATGGCACATCAATTCGGGTTGAACTGGAGTCACAAATGAAGGTTGTTACAGGCAAGTTCTTTCTCCACCAGTTTTTATTTTTCATTTTTTTTAATTTGTCTATTTGCTTATTGTTGTTTGTTTTGCAGTTGATCGTACTCATATCTCTGATAATGTGAATACTTCGACCACATATCGGTATACTCTGATGCACCTGCCTTTTTGTTTCTTCCATCAAATCCCAATAGATTGAATACCTTGTAACTGTTTTATGGTATACCAGTGACACACAGAGGTACGGTTCTGGAAGTGAGACACCTATGCATCCTTCACGAACCCCACTCCATCCATACATGACACCGATGAGAGATCCTGGAGGTTGGTCTTTCATAGCTGACTTCATAATTGTATTAGAAACAGGGAAGTTCTTTTTCATGTTTATTGTATTTAAATGTTCCGTCAGCAACACCTATTCATGATGGCATGAGGACGCCTATGCGTGACCGTGCGTGGAATCCATACACACCAATGAGTCCTCCAAGGTTTGTAGTCTGCTTCGTAGCACATGATTTTATGACGTTTAGACCACAAAATTTATACAAGTAAATTTTGGAATTTGTAAATGGCTTTTTGGCCTTTAATCATTTGAATTGAAATGAATAAATTTCTAGTCTATGTGTGATGGTTAGTGGTAGTAATATGCTATTATTTTAGGGATTCTTGGGAAGATGGAAACCCTGGTTCTTGGGGAAGCAGTCCTCAGTATCAGGTAAGCACTCCTGCCACTTGAGTTGTGAGTTAAATTAAAGTGTGTGCAAGTGATTAATGTTTTTAGTTTTCAGCCAGGAAGTCCTCGTTCAAGAGCATATGAAGCACCGACTCCTGGTTCAGGATGGGCCAATACTCCTGGTGGAAGTTACAGTGAAGCTGGCACTCCAAGGGATACTACCCCTGCTTATGGTAATCAATGTTTTTCCTCGAAGTTGAGAGTGGAACCGTATTTCTTAATTCTCTGATATATATATATAATATATATATATCAATGTTCTATATTACAGCTAATGCTCCAAGTCCTTACATGCCGTCGACACCTGGTGGACAGCCACCAATGACACCAAGTTCAGCATATTTACCTGGTACTCCTGGTGGCCAACCAATGACTCCCGGAGGTGGTGGGTTGGATATGATGTCACCTGTTGTAGGTGGGTTGCAATTTTTTTTATCATAGGTTGAATTATTTCTGGATGGATGGTTAGTATAATATAATGTTGACAGTGTAGATGTTTTAAATTCTTATTAAGAACCTGGATGATTTTGGTGGTGTTCTCAGGTGGAGATAATGACGGACCATGGTTTTTGCCAGATATATTGGTAAATGTACGCAGATCAGGTGACGATGCCGTCATTGGCGTCATCCGTGAAGTGCTCCTGGTATGTAGCTTCGTCCGTTCTGTTTACTAGAAAAGTATGTGCCTGCTTACGTATTTTTAGTAGATCGTTTATCGGCAATGGCAAGAAAATATAATTAGAAGCTGAAGGGAAAAAAGAAAAGAAAAGGGAAGGTCTTGGTTATACACTGTTTTTACTTATTTTTGTGATTTGGGTTGGGTTTCAGGATGGTGCTTGTCGAATAGCGCTTGGCACAAGCGGGAATGGAGATACGATCACTGCAAACCCCAACGAGATCGAGGTGGTAGTACCAAGGAAGTCTGACAAAATCAAAATAATGGGTGGCGCCCAGCGTGGGGCGACCGGTAAGCTGATTGGTGTTGATGGTACGGATGGAATCGTTAAGGTGGACGACACACTTGATGTTAAGATATTAGATATGGTAATTCTAGCCAAGTTAGCTCATTCGTCATAAGTGTAACCTCCCGGCTCCCTCCCTCCCTCAAGTTTGTACATTATTATTTTGGATTTCGATAAATGGGTGTTAGTCTGTCTGTCGGTCTAATGGTTCATTAATTGTTAATTTTGGTCTGTATGAGATGTGTTCTTTGAATTAAGCTGTACTTCCAACCCCATGCTCGGAATATATGATCAAGACACGTAAGTATCCATGGCGACTCTCTGTTTGCATTTCTATTTTATATTCGATGGTCTTTCTTTACAAATGATTGCATATCCCTTCTATGACGTAAAAAGGAGAGATGAGCACCCGGTTGGGTCCGTAACCTGTTGCGGAAGGCCTAGTTATGGTCTGACGTTAGTAACCGGTTAAACCGGTCCATGGTCCCGGTTTTAGCTTTGAAAGATGAGGCTGCTAGTAACCGGTTACGTAAGCCCATTTTTTAAGTGAATATATTATAATTTAATATATTAAATAATAAGTTATGCTCCAATCAAATAACTTCTCTTTATTTGATTATTAATAAAAGAAGAAAAACGGAAAACTCGTACTAAACGTTTAAAAATGCATGAAAAGGGTAAATGTGCAATAAATATCAGGAGTCTTGTCATTTTCTGAAATATCTTCAAATTAGACCATCCACATCCCTGCAATCCATTTACACTTTCAATTGTGCCACATCAGCTTTTGCAATTATCTTCCATACATCTGTAATTCACCTACAACACTTTCAACTGTGCCACGTCAGCTTTTGCAATTACCACCTACACACCTGCAATTCACTTACACTTTCAAAAGTGGTCCCCACTACAACATTTATTAACTTTTTTATAAATTATTTATATATACATTCTAATTATTTTTTAATTAATAACATGTTTTATTTTAATTCAATTTAAAACGATTAATAT